AGAGAATAGACTGGCCAGGGAGAGAGTTATTCTTAGTCATTGTGGAACCTTTGTGTCTTAAATGACACACCTTAGAGAGCAGATATTCTTACTGGTCTGGGTTGAGTATACATGGGTCTGGTGGATATCTTAAATTGGTTTGTGTAACTAAGAAAGGGACATAAGGGATGGAATTAAGTAGCATCTACTGTACTATTTCCCAAATTGTGGTCCGTAGACCAACTTTGATTTAAAAACCTTTGTTCAGGGCCAGCCCTGGTGGCCTAGTGGTTAAGTTTGACGCTCTCTGCTTTGGCAGCTCAGGTTTGGTTCCCAGAAGCGGACCTACACCACTCATCTATCAGTGGCCACGCTGTGGCAGCAGCTCACATACAAAATCGAGGAAGATCAGCAACAGATGTCAGCTCAGGGCAAATCTTCCCTGGCAAAAAAATAATAATAAAATAAATAAATAAACCTTGGTTGGTGATAGGAGCAGCCAGGCAGGGAAAGGGAGCAGTTTAAAAATGTAGATTCCAGGGGCTGGCCCCATGGCCTAGAGATTAAGTTCACTGTGTTCCACTTTGGTGGCCTGGGTTCAGTTCCTGGGTGCAGACCTACACCCCTTGTCAGCAGCCATGCTGTGGCAGAGACCCACATACAAAATAGAGGAAGACTGGCACAGCTGTTAGCTCAAGATAAATCTTCCTCAAGCAAAAAGAGGAAGATTGGCAACGGATGTTAGCTCAGGGAGAATCTTCCTCAGCAAAAGAAAAAAAAAAGATTCCAGGGTCCCAGCTAGACTTTTTAATGAGAATCCCCTTCAGTATGGCCTTGCAGTTTGCATTTCTGAGAAGCTCTCTAGGTAGTTCTCATGCATTTGAGAACCCCTGATCCACAGTGGAAATGGAACGCAAGATCTTAGAAACAAGTTTAAAGTAAAGAGAAATAATAAATGTCTAAGCATTAGTCTTGTGATTGTGTTGACAATAAACAATTGAAAATATATATTATCTGTCATTTGAAGTGTACCATCTTCATTTCTTTGTGGTCTGTACTTTTTCTTTCAAGGACAAATCTTGCCTAGCTAAAACTTTTGATGCCACAAAAGCCCAGATGACATACTATGGGTAACTTAACTAGGTTTAATTCCTCATCCAATGTTTCTATGTATTTTTTATAAAGAAAAAAATGTCTTCAAAGATATGCCCATGTTTTGGCTACTGAGAGACAAACCCCTCTCTGCCTTGGTGATCTCTTTAGTCTCAATCAAACTATGGAGCAAGGAGTCCCAGGGGAGAGATGACCCAACTCAGTCCACTTCGTTTCTGGGACAACCAAGGGCTACTTTGCAACATCAGTGGATAGATAAAATCATTTAAAATTAGTTTTAATTATATGGCATTGCTTTATTTTTCTATTTCCTATGACAAATAAAACATCAGAAATAACTTGCTGGTCTTCATGACTCTCCTTTCTCTGGACCAGGTATTTTGTTATATTCTTGCTTTATCTTGCTAAGGAAGGACCCCATCCCGCTAAGTCTATTGCTGTAATAGTCAACTTTACCTCCAGTTTCACTGCTGGGTCTTCATTTTGTCCATTGGTTTGTAGCACTCCTGCTCTGTTGATGATTAACCAACACAAATCTTTTTAAGTACCTACAGCAACACTTGTACATGACTAATAGCTCAGATTCATTCATTGTTAAATTAAAAATTGCCCAGTGATGGGTGCTTAGGAGGTTTTCGAAACCAATAAATGCTGAGAAATATGGTGTTCTTAATGCCTCGACTGCTGTCATGATGCCACACTCAGTTGCCATGTGGGACACTTGTAGGTTCTGAGCCCACCTGTCTGTCAGTAGTCAGAGGAAAGATCTCAGAAAACAGGGGCTGTGTGCATGAAACTCAGTTATTGCTCAGGGAAATCAATGTAATTTATATTCATATGTCGCACAATCTAATTACTTATAGAGTAATGATGTCTTCTTGAAAAATATTCAAAGAAAGGCAGATAATAAAAGCTCAGGAAATTCTCAAGGAATAACTTTATGGGGAAGAGAAAAAGATTCTGAACTAAAACATAAAATATATGAACGTTTAGACATTCTTCTTAATATTCTGATCTATTCTGTTCTATTCTTCAGTTTCTAAAATGCTGGTTAAAATTAGTTTCATGATTCACCAATAATTTTTTTACCTACCATAGGAAATGCCCTGTTCTGGAGACTAAAGATTCCATGGAGAAGTCGTGGGCCGTAATACTGGAGAACTCTTTGCAAGGAGATCAGGAAAGGCCTTAAAAGGCAGCCAAGGACATATTTAAAAAGCAACCTAAGTGATTCTTGGGCAATTGTTAGGGAACAACTTCGGAGTCACTATAGGTTTTGAGTTGATGTAGCATTGTGATTGCTAAGTTTTAGAAAGATGGATCTGGCAGCAAATGTGTAAGACAGTATTGGAGAGTTTGTTAGCAATCTAGAGTAATAGTCCAGATAAGAAATCTCCATCAGAGTAGACATGAGAGTAGGGAAAAGTGTCCTAGTAGAATGGATACAAAACTCATTTGAATGGAAAGAGGAAGAGAGAGGAGGGAGCCAGAAAGAATTTGAAGTTTTGGGTGAATTCGAATTTTGGGGTAGTTATGCACTTGATTCTGTTCTCCCAAAATTCATATGTCAAGGTCCTAACCTCCAGTATCTCAGAATGTGACCGTATTCAGAGACAGGCCCTTTAAAAATGTAAGTAAGTTAAACTGAGGCCATTAGGGTGGGCTCTATCCAAGCTGACTAGTGTCCTTATAAGAGGAGATTAAGACAGAGAGAGACCTGGCCTGTGTGAGCACAGAGGGAAGACCCTGAGAAGAGGAAGCAAGGGGACAGCCATCCGAAAGCCAAGGAGAGAAGTCTCCTAGGAAACCAGCCCTGCTGGCACCTTGATCTCGGACTTCCAGAAGAAAATAAATTTCTGTTGTTTAAGCCACTTAGTTTGTGGCATTTTGTTACGGCAATCCTAGTAAACTAAGACAAATGTATTAATAGAAATAGAGTCATCGGGAAGAGAGTTAAATTTGGGATTTGGGGCAGGGGAGACAAGGGAAATCTTTTCCTGATTTTATTTTCTCCATGAATGTCACTCATTTATTGAAGTTAACATTACTATGAATACATAAGGGAAAAGTGCTTCCCAGAAGAGGACGGTGAATGTTGACCATCAATAGGACAAAGCTGTCTTCAAAAGGTAAGGCTGTGGGAAACAGTCTAGAAGTGCACTGAAGGCAGAGTTCATCTGTGACTGTGTCTCTGCAGGTGCAAGAGCTTGGGTGCGGAGGCTCAGGAATAGCTCCAGCCGCTTCCTTGATCTGCGTGCAATTAGTTCTCCCTTGCTAGCCCGCTGATCTACTCTAGCAGCGCTTTCCTGTTCCACGTGGTACACCAACTGTGGCAAATCCAGCCCCGGTTCTCAATTTCTTTCTGAGCGTTCTTTTAAGTCTAGCATTCCCCCACCCGTGGCCCTCAGGTTGACGCGAGCAGCACGAGTCCCACTTGAAGGTGGCGTCTTCTGAAAAGACGTGAATGTCAACAAGGCCTAGGGCAACACAAAAGCTTTTGTAAGTAGCCCCAGCCGCCCAGAATATGCGTCTCCACATACGTGTGACAGTGGTGCTCCGATAGTTTCCTTTTTCATTTATAAATAAATACATATATACATACATAAAATAAAAGTAAGTTTAGACTTTTTAATAGAGAGATATTGCAGAAAATTTTCCACATATTTTGGAGGTGTCAAAAAATGCTACTTTCTGGAATTTGAATTTATTATTTTGCATTTGAGGCTTAAAAGTTGTAATTCAGTGTTACAATATGATTTCCTCAAAAATATTAGTTTGATTAAAAAAATGTGATAATCTAATATTTCACAATGTTTCTTAGTTACTGCTGAATCCTTGGAAAGACAGTAGCAGACTGCTCATATACAACATGCATAAGGACGTGAAGGAGAAAATGAGATAATTGTTTAGAACCTGCAAAAGATATATGGCCCTCTTTGTAGGCAATTACATGACTAATTTTAATTTTAGCCCAGTTTTCTTCTCTTGTCCGAGTCTTTTAACTATGGAAAAAAAGAGATTCACGATGAAATTTATGTAACCATTTTTTCAAAAATTTTGATGAAATTAAATCATATTGTACGAAAATTACAAGCCCTTTGTGTATCTTTTATTCTGCTTGAAATATAGTCATTTTAGAAACAAAAAAAGGTTTTATTTCCATTTTTGTTTTTTCACAAAAAAAATATCCCGTAGCATGATATATTATATTTCTCTTCTGTTTCTTACTTTTTTCACTTATCACAAGTCTTGGAGAGAACTCCATATGGGAAAGTAGAGCTCTTCCTCCATTTTTACTTACAATTGAATAATATTCCTTTGTATGAGGTTCCATAATTTATTTAATTAGCTCCCTTTGGTGTATATTTCAGTTGTTCTCATTAATTTTTTACTATTGCAAACAATGCTGCTGTAAGTAGTTCTGAATATACATTATTGTGGTGGGCAGAATTTTACTCCTCATAATGTTTGCCCTCTATAGTATTATGCCTGTGTATGTTATGATACATGGCAAAAGGGACGCTGCAGATGGAATTACGATTATGGAGCTTAAAGTAGGAAGATAATCCCGGATTATTCACATGGGCCTAATGGAATCACATAGGTCCTTGACGTCGGAAGATGTTGTAAGAGCCAGGCAGAGTGAGGCAACAATGGAAGAAGAGGCAGAGGAGATGTGTTTGAAGCATAAGAACCCACCATTTTGGCTCTGGAGACAGAGGAAGGGAGTCAGGATCCAGGGAACCAGGCAGCCTTCAGAAGCTGGTGATGGTTCCCATCTAACAGTCATAAAAAAAGGGGTCTCATTCCTACAACCGCCAGGAACTGAATTCTGCTAACCGTTTAACTGCTGGAATGAGCAGGAAACAGATTCTTCCCTGGAGCCTCAGGAATGGATCACAGCCCTGCCAACATCTTGATTTCAGACTCGGACATTCTAAGCCAGAGAACCAGCCTAACCCATTGCACTTCTGACTTACCGAACTGTGAGATAACACATGTATATGTTTTAGGTTTGTGGTAATTTATTACAGCAGTGATAGAAAACTAATACAATCATTTTCATGTGGACCTGCTAGGTAAGTTTCTGAACTGGAACTATCGAGTCAAACAGTGTGTGCAATGATATTTTTGATAGATTTTTCAAAATTTCCCACAGAAAAGGTTAGAGCAAGTCACCTTCCCATCATCAATGAGAGTCCAGATTTTTCCGTTGTTATCAAACATTTGGATCTTTGTCAGATATGTAGAAAACAGTCTCTCGGTTTTGTTTTAATTTCTATTTTATTATGAATAAAGTTTTCCACCTTCCACTTTTTTTTTTTTTGGTGAGGAAGACTGGCCCTGAGCTAACATCTGTTGCCAAGCCTCCTCTTTTTGTTTGAGGAAGACTGTCCCTGAGCTAAGACCTATGCCAATCTTCCTCCATTTTATACGTGGGACACCACCAAAGGAAGGCTTGATGAGCAGTGAGTAGGTCCGTGCCCAGGATGCGAACCCGCTAACCCCAGGCTGCCCAAGTGGAGCGTGCGAACTTAACCTCTATGCCACCAGGCCAGCCCCCGCATCTTTGACATTTTTTAGAACCACTTTTATTTTCATATCTATGATCTTTTAGTGCATGTCTTTTGCCTATTTTCCAATTGGATTGGCAGGTATATCTTGTTGATTTATGAAATTTTTTATATATTATACAAATGTGTTCTTTGTCTATAAGGTGCATTTTTTCCCTGATTTGACTTTTTCCTTTGGAGTCTGTTCATGGTGATATTTTAACTTTAGTTTTTATAGAGCCAAATGTGTTTGTCTTTTATTCAATGGCTTCCAGATCTCATGTCATGCTTAAAAAGGTCCTTCCTAGGTAAAGGTCTTAAACAGAACATTCACTGATGTGTTTTTAGTACCTTTGGTTTCATTTTTGACACTAAATTTGATTTTCCCGTATATTGAATGATCTGTTTTTTCTATGAATGTGAAATGCCATTTTAATCAAGTTTTAAATTCCCATTTATATTTTACATATTTCTTGTCTTAGTCTGTTTCTTTCATGATTCTGCCTACTCATTCCCTAACACTACACTCTAGATTATGGAAGCTTTGAAAGACGTTTTAAAATCTGGTAGTATTATCTGCCACATTGTTCTTCCTTTGTTGCCTTTTTTTCATAACATGTAGTGTTGCCTTGCTAATTAAAAAAATCCAGCTAGTGAGTTTGCTAGGGTGCTAATAAATTTATAGATTAGCTTGGGAGAATATTCATGTTCATGAGATTAAGGCTTCTTATTCGAGAACAAGGGGTAAAATTTTATTTGTTCAACTTTTCATTTAAGTTCAATAATGCTTTAGTGTCCTAAATATGGATTTTCATATTTAATCTTAAGCTTATTTCTAAATAGTCCATCTTTTCATTGTCGTTATAAACAGGGTCTTCCATCATATCTTCTAACTGGTTGTTGCTTGTGAGTATAATATTGTATTTATGTCTGTACATATGTAATAGATAAATATTTGTTTTTCTGTATATTAACTTTATTCTTGGCCATTTACTAAATTCTCTTACTGTTTTCCTATTGATTCCCTTTGTTTTGTTTTTTAAGTGTAAAATTATAAAATCTGAAAATAATGATAATTTTACCTCCTCCTTTCAAACGTTTAAATGGATAGCATTGTTTCTTGTCTGGGCGTGTTCAAGAAGGTTAAATGACAGCTGTAATAAGGCCCTGTGTGTTAGAGTCCTACTCAGCCACAGGTCCCGCCCCGAGAGCTCCCTCTCCCCTTGAACACCATCATCTAGACCATTCGCTGTGCCCTTCATAGCTGATCCCACAGCCAGGTCTTCTCTCCAGGCCTGGTCTCAGTGGGCCTAGACTTTTTCCTTTTATCTTTTGTCAGAGTTTCAGGCTCCATCCTGACATCAAGACATAATTTACGACAATTTAATGATTCTCAAACATGGTTATGCACCAGAATCACTCAAGGAGCTCTCTGGTGGCAGATTAGTAAGCTTCAAACGGTATCTACTGAACCAGAAATTTGGGAGTAGAGTGTTTCCAAAAGACCCTTAGGTGATTCTAATACTACTACAAAAACCTCATCAGTCCAAGGGCCCCGGGAGACACGGGCAATGTCTGGAGATATTTTCAGTTGTACAGGCTTCTAGTGTGTAGAGGCCACGGGTGTTCTTAAACATTCTGCAAAGCAGAGGACAGCTCCCCACAACAAAGAATTTTCTGACCCAAAATGTTAATAGTTCTGAGGTTGAGAACCCTGGCCCAAGACTTGCACCTGGGAACCATGAAAAGCCTCATCCTTACTGACCACTGCAAGTAACATGTCGTCTAATGATTTTAATAGCAGGGAGTTTATCAAGATACAAAACAATACGCCAAAACCATACGGTCTGGTCCCTATTATGAACTAAGAATAGGTGGATTTTCTCTGAAATTGTAAGAGCAAGAACATTTACTGCAGCAGTCATAGTGTCTGTCAAGTCATAGTCATGATTTTTTTCTCTCTAACCACAGAACTTCAATTCAGGATGAGGGTAGTAATGTGCCTCCTTTGAAGCTGGAGGTGCCCATGTGAAACAGAGCTGGCAAAAGAGATCTAAGTGGAATCCCCTCGTGGTGCTTCTTTGACATCTCTTTAAAAAGCAGACACATTAAGTTGGCACGTGCCTTCTGCCTTTTGTCTCTCCAACTTCCTGCCTGGGACATTGATGTAATGCTCTGGATGAGGCACTCATATTGTGACTATGAGGTGACAAGCATGTGTTAAAGGCATCTGAAAGAAGATTCCTGAGTACACTCAGACTTGCCATATCAGTCTAGCTCTGAGTTGCCTTCAAACGAGAAAAGCAAATGCTCCAATTTGTTTAAATTACCATTTTTTAGCTAAATACCATTTCTTCTATGTGGTTATTTTCAAAATGAAAATATATATAGTCAACAGGGTTACTTAAACATTATTTTGAAGACATTATAAAATGTTAAAAATGTCACATATAATAAAAAAATTTTGATCTTAACAGATGACACTACATTTTTTTGCAGGAAGGGAATTGTCTTTGTAAGAAAAATAACATAAACCACATGGGGCTTGAAAGTGTGATTTTTAGGACTTGAGTTAGTAAGAGACAAAGATTTAAAGATATTGCTAAACCCCTCTGCATAAGAAATTAACTTAGAATTATGGAAAATGGTGAGTGTGTAGCAGGGAGCGGCATCAGGTTAAAGTAGTAAACGAGTCGGGACAAATGACTGAAATATCTTAAGACCAGGAATAAGCAATATTTAATTTTAAGATGTTTGCATTACCTTGATGGAGCACTCTCTCTGACACCAAAATCTCCTGTAAAGTCTACTGTATACTTTGTATGTGCATTTCTATTATTATTTTAGTGAAATTCAAGAAAAAGAGGCCAAATTCCATAGCTGAGTTGGCAAGGAGAAGAGAATGTGAGCAGTCATTGGATGGGAGTTGAAAGTCCCATCGATAATCCAGCAGAAATCAGAAATTATGTATCTCTCTCTCTAGAGAGAAATATATATATATACAAATAATTTTTTTTCCTATTGGTTCTGTTTCTCAGGAGAACCTTGACTATTATAAATTTGGAGCTCACCATGAGAGTAGGAAGTCTGAAAAAAGTAATCTCCCTCTCTTGAATTATTTCAGATGACCTACACACAGCGGTTAAACTGTCAATGAAAGAGAAGAAAAGAAAATCAGTGCCCACTCAGAGGGAAACAGCCATGGGAACTTTGACTTCTGGACTGAGCTGAAGATTGTGTAAAATGTGGAACACAAAGTTAGGATACAAAATGTATTAAAAATAGATGTTATGAATCAGCAATAAAGTTTACCCAAGGCATTCATTTCTTTAATGGTTGCTCAGAAAACACATCTTTTAAAATAATGGCTGTAAAATTGTTGTCCAAGTCTACCATAAAGAAAAGATACAGTTTTGAACATTCATCCTTAAATAAGGAACAGCCAGCCACCACCATGTGGAACCTGAAGGAAAACAAGTGTATGACTCAAGGGTTTTTCTATGGCTGTAGCAAAATCATAATACTTGTCACAGTATCCAAATTTGAATAAATACACCTAATGGGAGACCTCTTATGTGCTGAAACTTAAAAAATTATATTATGCGATCACAGTGAATGTCACAACTGATATAAACAGAGCATAATTAAATAGATAAATCTATTTTAGAAAATTAAGCAGTATATCCACAAACCAAGAATAAGTAGTTTCTAAAACTTGTCTACAATTTTACAAAAAGATATATTTCATAAAAACCAAGTTAAATTTCTCACTAAAATCTTACGCATTCCCACAATGAGTTCCATTCAAGTCTATACACGTGTTATTTTTTACAAAGCAAATGGAAATATGGAAAGGAAATTAGATGGAGTGTATTTTTATCGAACAAAAACAAAATTAAACAAGTAAACACACACACAAATCCACCCTCAGAGAATTAAGTTAAACAAATTGTAGAAAAATGCTTGAAATTCAAAAAAAATTCAAAGAATAAAATCTAATTGAATTTCAGAGTTAAAGGAATAAACAGAGAACAGTTAAGCAAATTCTCATTTTGTATAAATTTAGATGAGCATGCAGGCCTATTTTGTAAAATTTGGAATGGTTACTCTTTGGGGGAAATAAACCTAATTATAGATTTTATTTCATGACACTTAATGTTCTTCATTTAGGCGAAACCAGCTGAGAAGTTAGATGCTGTTTCCACCTGTGGCTACCTAATATAATTTTTCCCATAAAATTTTGCATCTGTGTTGTTTAGTTCAATGGGCACATTACACAAGGGAACAAATGACTACAGACTTCTATGAAATCATTATTTCCATAGATTTTGGAGTCCAACTTACCCCATGAATAGGCCTTTAGATTTTAAAGATGTCTAGATAGCTTTAATGTAATTGGCACTTGACTCTGCATGGAAATTCAAATAAATATTCAACGCTGGGAGAAGAGCTCAACTCTAGTTCTTGAGGCAGGAATGAGTTTGCTCTAATTCCTTCCTATGTACTAACTGCCTATCCAAAGTCTGAGGACTAAAAATAAACAAATGAATTACATCTCTTATAATTTATTTAAATATAGGAGGTTATTAAATAATTTAACATCATTAATCTGTCAAGTACAGCTGTCTTCATCAAAGAGAGCACTATTTGTAACAAGAACTGTATGGTTTAAAAGCAACTATATTCACAAATGATTGCACGTAAAGAGAGAGAACGAGAAAATGTGGAATTTCTAGAAATAAATCAACAAAAGAATTTAAAAAAAGATATGCCGGGTTATTCCACATCTTACAGAAAGTAACAGTTTGGTAGTTTGACGTCATGGGTAAAGATCGGTGGTTAAGTAGGTTCTAATCCGTTCTTTTCGTCTAGGAATAATACCTGGCACAAGAGGGGCAAAGGATTAGGGGGCTTAATTTCTCTTACTCCTGGTTCACTCATTTACCAAACAAGTACTTTTTGAGCACTTATTAGGAGAATTTCCTTTGCTTATTACTATGGGGTGCATGGGAGATAAAAAAGAAAAGCTGAATCAGACTTCTGAACTCAAGAGGTTTTCAACGATGTTGAACGTGTGGTAGGTTCAATCTGTACAGAAAAGATCAAGTGGAGGATTTGCAACAACCTCGTGATTTGGCCAGATTATCGGAACCATTCGGGACAAAAATAAAGCGTAGTTGTTTCCGGACCGAACTATTTTGTGAATAATCCAAGAGGAGATGACATCAGTGAAAGAAGATATAATGGTAGAATTCCAAAATTGGTAGAATGCTAACAACCATTCCCGCTTTGATAGTGTCTTCATTTAGCAAAAACCCAATAATTAGTAATATAACAGACTTTAGAGTAGAAGTCAAAAGAAACTCTATTACTTTTAATTGTGTTAACATTGCCTTTATCATTAATGTCATTTCGGTTCCAATTTCTTTCTAACATAAGACGTTATGAGTATACACTTTAAAAGTAAAATATTTGGCAGTAGTTTCTATGTAGAGTTCTTATTTAATTTTAAGTATAACCAAAAGAAAAAAAGTAAAAACAAAGCATTTTGAAGCTATTTGGCTATTGTTGCTTTTGAATTAAAAAAGGTGATTTGGAGAAAATACCATACTTATCTTTGACTTGCCAAGTTTTCCACTTCATATTTTCATTTTTCAGTCCTCTCCTACACATAAGCATGTAGAATATCTTTGATGTCACCTCTATTATTCTGTATATTTTGCTGCTACTAATACTCAAACTTTCCTAATTTACTTTAGGTCTGTTCCTTGAAGCTTTGAAATCTTTCTAGACTATCCAATTGTTAAGTCTAAAGGCTGCCTGAGCCAGGGGTTAATTCTGGCTTGTATAGCTATTCATACATCTCATATTGAATTTGCAGTCATAGCCCCATGATATGTACTCGTTAATTCCCCCTGTTATCCTTCAGTTGCTGACAATTCCTTCCTTAACCATTCTCTGATTGCTTCCAAGGTGTTATTATCAAGCTTGAGTCTTTTGATGTCTTGGAATTTTGGTCCTGTCCATTCACGTGTAGTTCAAACATGGTATTAAGTGATTAACATGACTATTGCAACCTAAAGCAATAGTACTCTCTTGGAAAGTCCTCATTTTAAACCTGGGATACAACGGGTATTCTTTATGAATTTTTCATACACACGGAAACCCAGGCTATTTCTGGGAAAATGTATTAGAATCAAAAGCACTAGGCAAGCAGCGACTCAGTCCAGAGAGGTTTTGTGTTTTTTTCGTGTCTGAGTTTAAATAGATTTTCCATCTTTCCAGTTTTTTCTGAGCTACTTCAACCATTTATCCATGTTTCCATCAATCAGTCAATCCATCTATCAAATATTTTCTGAGTGTCAGTCATTGTCCCAGATATTCTTGATGAGAGAATAAAAAATAATACAGATATTCTCATTACTTTTAGAGAGCTTGGAGTTTAATTAGCAATATGGCTAAGTAGTCAGAAAATTGAAAATATTGCGTGTGTGTATGTGTATTACGGGTTTTGAGAGCAGAAGTAAAAGTTTCTGTGGCAAGGCATTAGAGACGCAACTATCTGGGATTTGAGGATTCGGAGATGGCTTCCTGAACGAAGGACCATTTAGGTTGAACCCTGAAGTTAGAGTAAGTAACAATGAGAGTGGGGTACAGTAATGACATATGCAGAGGGAGCAGCCAAGATGTGTAGGTAAGTAATGAAAGAAGTAGGAAAGTAGACTGGAGTGTTAAGCAGTGTCCTAATTATGAAGGACCCTAAGGGCAAAATTAAATCGTTTGGACCTCAAACCAACAGCAAAGGGGAATCCTTAAAGTGTCTTGAATGAGAGAACAATGAGATAGAGTGGAGAATGGATTGGAGGAAAGAAGCATGAAGATGTGGGGGCCAGTGTGAGGCTACTGTAGGAATCTAGGTAAGAGATGATGATAGCTTGTACTAGGACAGTAATTCTAGGGATGAATAGAAGTTGATGATTTGAGAAATTTTTAGGAGGTGTGTTGAGAAGAATTAAGGAATCATTCAATATTGGAAGTGAATGAACGAAATGATGAGTGAATGAAAATGAGGATGAAGTTGATTATAATGACTATGTTATTATCTTGAGTAGACAGTGAAATAGAGAACATAGGAGAATAAGGAGTTTAGGGAAAAGGAAATGATGGATTTTTCTGGGACAAGTTGACTTTGATATGTGAGTCAAGCTGCCAAGTGGAAATACTTGTGTAAGTAGGACAGTATTTTCCTAAACTCAGGAGAGAGCTCCGGACAGGAGATTGAAATTTGGGATAGATCAGGCAGTTACTAAACCATGGAAGTTAAGGTAAGCGCATAGAGAGAGATGTAGAGTGAAAAGAATTTGCTTAGCTGGACTTTAAGGACAGTAACATTTAAGGACAGGATAGGAATAAAACACACACACATACACACCGCCCCCACCCAAGAAGATGCAAAAGAGGTAGAAAGAAAACCAGCAAAATGAAATGTGGTGAATGCAAAGGAGGAAAGTGTTTTATAAAGGAAGAAACGGATAATGTGTCATATTCTCCCAAAAAATAGAGTAAGATAATGGGTAGGTGCCCACTGGTTTAGATAAACCATTATTGATCTTGGAAGAGTAATTGGAGCAGAAGCCAGATTACTGTAGATTGAAGAATGAGCAGAAAATAAGGAGATAGAGACGAATATAGACAAATCTTCCAAGATTAACCATGAATGGAAAGAAATAGGGTGGTTGCTGGTCTAGGTTGCAGGACTGTGGAGAAAACTTGAATAATTTATATTCTTATAAGAATTGGTTCCATGATGAGTTGTGGTATTGTAGTTTTCATCATAAATGAGTGAGGGTGGCAAGTTCCTTCAGACTGGATCTTCTTGGCACTGCATTTTAGTGGACATAACTAAGGTCCATGGTCTGGTTATCAGTTAGCTGGTGCCAAAAATTAATCTTACTTATATTAGATTATATGTTAATGTGTGTTAGTCAGAATATTAATTTTTTAATTAATGGACTGCTTTTAAAAGAGTTTTAGATTTAAGGGAATATTGGGCAGATAGTGCAGAAAGTTCTCATATATTCTCTTCCCAACCCTCACAGCCTCACATACATTTCCTCTATTGTTAATATCTTACATTAACATTGTCCATTTGTTACAATCAATGAACAAATATTGATACATTATTATTAACTAAAATCCATAATGTATTCAGATTTCCTCAGTTTTTACCTAATGTCCCTTTTCTGTTCTAGGATCAGATTTCCTTTGTCTCCTCTTGGCTTTGATAATTTCTCAGACTTTCCTTATTTTGT